ACTGGGCATCATTACTACCCTTAGTGGAGTATGCATATAATACATCCACCACCGTGTCCACCAGAGTATTACCATTTGAGATTAACTATGAATTCACTCCCGGGACAAACTGATCTGGAATTGTTCCTGATAACAAACAAGTTCATCTGAGTACTGAGCTGTTAGTCAAGGATTAGGAAGGTACATGGCAAGATATATGAGAAACATTATGGAGGTTGCAGGAAAGGCAACAGAAATAAAATGACAAGAAAAGACTACTATTTCTGGAGTATGCCATACTAGAAGATGTTGAACCAGGCAGAGCGATTAAGGCAAATTGGGTGATGCTAAATTGCAAAAATATCCATACCAAAAGGACTATGGAGAAGCTAGACCACAGAATGTTTGGCCTATTTGTGGTCAAGCAACGTGTGGGTACTAGGGCATTTGAACTCCAACTTGCTGCCCGTTGGTCAATCTACCCGGTATTCATCATAAGATTGTGGAAGCCATACCTGGAGGATCAGGACAGGAGAGGGGCAAAGAATATCACAATCTCTGACATGGTAGAGGATGAGCCCAGCTAGGGTATCTCAGGAGAGTTGGACAGCCAGTGGTATCGTGGAGCCAAGCAGAGGTTTCCATATCGGTTTGTCCAGTACCTTATATAGTGAGAATACTATGGGCCTGAAGAAAACTCATGAAAGTTGTTTGTGATGTTGGAAGAAACTGGCATGTAGGCCTTAAGCGATTTTCACAAAAGGTATTAATCTAAACCTATGGATCAAAAGGTTGTAGATATGCGGAGTAGTGGAAATAAGAGACATTGTTAGAGCAGCTTGGGTCGAGCCTTATAGAAGAGGGGAGTGATGTAACGAGACTCCACAGAGTACTATTAAAGTTGAACAAACCTACACCTATACCGGTATCAAGAGACTACGTAGTAGGAATGGTGGTAGACTAGAGTCTACTGGCTAGAGGTACTGTTAGTTAAGTACCACAGTTGGGCATACTATACCATACTAAGAGGTATACGGCTACTAGTAAGCAGCAGTAGTTACCGTACTCAGTATGGTAACCTAAGTAGTCGATTTGGGAGTTACCCCGAAATACTCAACAGTGAGTCAAGGTAGAGTTACCCTACTCTGCAGGGTAACTCAGAGTGCTGTTACTCTACCTTTGGACTCAGGTTACGCTATTATGGAGCCAGGTTACCCTACTTGGAAAGTAACTTGTTACGCAGGACTTTGAGGGAAGTTACTAGATTGTTTGTCATGCGAAACTACGTAATGTGTTCAAATCTCAGGTTGTGCGGATCACTCTGGCACATCTAGTTATGCTCCGAACGACTCGTAACCTGGAGGTCTGGTGGCTAGCACCCCCCTCTGGCCTCGCTATTAGTCCCGGGGGTCATGGGCTACATCCTGGAGAGTTGCTGTAAGTCTAGTAAATGTCTTCAGGTGGAGATACTCCTTTAACACTGTATACGTTCCCACCGTCCATCCCACCAGAGAGAGTCCGCGGGAAGGTGAGGGGGTAGAGGTGAACCTGGAGTATAGTATCCAGGTGGTTTCATGTAGAACGGACTAGAACCGATGGAGTAATACTACCTTGAAGTCTATGATCGTATGTGAAGTTACAAAATGCTCTTAGGTGAAGTAACCAAAGTTCATTGCCCCGAAAGTGTAATAGTATTGGAGAATCATTAGGGACTCTGAGACACTAGTCTAAGGTCACGACAAGACCTGTACCGAGGAGGGCTGACTGTGGGTAGCGCCTATTGGTAGTCAACATCCAAAGGGGTCTATTGGGGAGCTACATGGTCATCTTCGAAATGATATAGAATAGAGTAAAACCGGAGAGATTTTTAGGGGCTGCGGATGCTTGTAGTATACTAAGTGTATATGGACAGAGAGCTCTATAGTTGGTATCGAATCTACTGGGAGATGACAGCTCGCCAGTGACATGTCCGCGACATGAAGAGTTTTTTATTCCTGCGGTTGTGTTATGGATACAGCGGCTAAAATACTTCTATCAGGTAGGCGTTAGCAAAACACCAGAGTAGTGTCATTAGCTATGGGGATCTTTAATCTGACCCACTGATGTTTGCTAGGCAGCTCAAGGGAGTTGGGTGCTCGCGAATACAGATTAGTAATAGGGAGCAACTGGCTGTATATGAAATCTACTTCAGTATATGCGAGTTCTCCTCTACTCTGGCAATCACCTACCTCTCGAGATTAGGACTTAATTGAGTAAAAGCTGTGTCTCAACGATATTAAGTTTTACCATTTTGCTTCTTCACACTCTACTGTTGAGACTTTTAACATTTATTATATTTGTTCACATTGCAGACCAATTCATTTCGGTGCAGTTGCAACCTGGGGATCCATCTTCCCAGAGAAAGCCCCTGTTACCATAGTGTCCTTTCCTGTGCAACTATTTCTTTGTTCCATACTTCTGCGTGTAGTATCCAGCAGTGATTTTCTTCATCCTGTGTATTTTACATGTATTATTGAAGCACTGTTTCCACTGCTTTAGGGTATGGTCCTGGTGTGGACCAATGGTTTTGTATTCTCTCAGGAACCATGCCGAGCCTTCCTTGTCTCTATAATTTGTGGGACATCCATCATCTTAGCATACCGTCCATCACATGGCATTATGCTCTGCTTGCTTTTCCCTTTCCCTGAGGTCTTCGTCAGTCGGCTCCATAAATGAATATTCGGTTCTGGTTGGTTTGATTCAGTGGATGCTATTACCCCAGCTGTTGTGTGGTTGCGAGAGCGCAAGGGCGTCTTTCTCTCACCTTTGTCTTGGTTGAATGTAGCTGTTACCTGGGCCGGGCTTGACTGGGTATCGCTGGTGGAAGGTTGTGATAGCATCATATGCTTGTTCGAAGTTGTGTACAGAGTACCAAGTTTTATTATGTTTTGGTGAATAACCTGTCCATTGGGCTCAGTATTATAGATTTCCGTATGCGAAGCGAGAATCTACTATTTCATTAAGTTCGCATTCTGGTTCTCCGTTGAGTTCCATCATGGGGGGAGGAACAATTGTTTGTAAGGGAAACCTATTGTTGTTGTATAATTTATGGAGTGAGATGTAGAATGTGTTGAGTATTCACATTGAGGGGGGAAGGTCGAGTTTATAAGCTCAGTTGTGCATTCTCTCCAGTATCTTAAATCGCCGGATTTTCTTGTGGTACAATTTCTTTAATAGTTTCATCTTATCGATATTGCGTGGTATTAGCCATACCATATCTTCCGGTTCTATGTTTGTATCCGGTCTTCTGTGTTTATCATATTTTTCTTTTTGACATTGTTTTGCTTGCCTTATTTCATATTGTAATGTCTCATGTCGATTTCCCGTTTCTGTTTTATCCGGTATTATACCATTACTCGTATTATATGTAGCCTGACTTTGCGGCTGTAGTCTGTAATTCGCAACGAAGAGTCTTCTGCCAATTGTTTCTTGTTTTCCATTATTGTACACGAATTCGGCCAATGCTAGCAGTTTGTCCCAATGATCCTGTTGGTAATTGATGTAGGCCCATCAATGTTGTTCAAGTATTACATTTACCTGGTACATTTGTCCGTCCGTTAATAGGTGAAATGATCTACTCTGGCTGTTTTGTATCACCATTTCTCCAGTTACCTTCTTCTACATTCCTGATGTGAACAACGTTCCTTAGTCGGTAATGAGATTCTTGGGAAGGCCTGATGTGCTTTGGTCCGACGATCCACTACAACGAGTATCCTATCGCATATTTCATATAATGGTAGGTCTATGATGAGATACATAGTAATTGTCCCCCATGGTGGTTCTGGAACTTCGTTCAATTTCAGTAATCCGTAAGGTGCGTATTACGCCGCTTTTTCCCTTTGGCATATGTTTTAATTTTTGATATATCTTTTTGACATTTTCGTGCAGTCCCAGCCAATGGAATGACCCCATAATAAATTCTGTAATTTTCACTGTTCTTCAGTATCCTGCCATTCAGATATCCGGGTATTGTTACTTGATGTCTGCTCTCATCTTTTCTTCTTCGGAAATCTATTGTTTTCCATCGAAATACATGTTTCCATCCTCCCATTGTCATAAACCTAGAGCGATTCCTTTCATCCCCTTTTTTCCTTCCTTCAATGCTTCTCTTATTGCCTGAATTGTTTTTTCTCCTTCGTTTACCTTCTCGATTTCGTTTTCTTCTATTGATGTGAAATGGATAACCTCCATTGCCTCAAAGTAGGCCTTTGGTAATAGTCTTTGTGTTTTTCATTTGTTTCATTCATTTTCTTTTGTTTGTGATTTGTTGCTTGAAATTCTTGTGAGAGCATCTGGCTTTCCGCTCTCTTTGCCTGGTTGGTATTCAATTTTAAAGTTGTATGGGCCAAGTTGTTCCATCCACCTTATCTGGTGGTGGTTCAATTCCTTTGTGGTGATGAACCGGACTAGATTCTTGTGGTCAGTGAGAACTGAGACCGGATAGTCGTTGTTCAGAATGTATCTCTACCATTCCTATAATACTTGAACTATCGCTAATAGTTTTTTGTTTGCAACAGTGTAGTTCCACTCTGCAGGGGTCATTGTCTTGGATCGATAAGACACTAGCCTCCATTTTCTGTCTTTGCATTGTTGCGATGATATACCTGAACACATATATTTTGAGCCATCCGGTTCGAGCATTGTCCTTCGGTTTGTGTCGAAGTATACCAGTATGGGTACTGACCTTAGAATTGTCTGAATAGTATCATATGCCTTTTGTTCTGTTTTCCCCTATTCCCATTTGTTGTCTTTCTTAGTTAGGTTATAGGGTGGTTTTGCAAGTTGGCTAAACTCTTCTATGAACCTCTGATAAAAGTTGCAGAATAGCATAAAGACTTGAACGTCTGTTTTGTTGTTGGGTTTGACCCAATCCCATATTGCTGCTGTTTTCACGGGGCCGACTTTGACCCCACTTCGATTGATGAGAAATCCGAGGTATTCGGTTTCTTGTTTTTGGAATTCGCATTTCTTTTGTTTGATCTTCATTCCTGATTCTTGTATTGCAGCCATAATGTTGCTGACATCCCTCTGATGTTGTTGCAGGTTTTCCCATAGATAAGTACAGTCGTATCTGGAAAGATTTCATACCCCTGTTGTGCAACCCCGCAACACCTGATCACCACAACAACCCTTCTCACTATGGCCTCTCCACATAATCTAAGAGCAAGAGAAGACCTCAATAAGGAAATTGATACTCTGTATAAACATACAGATAGGAGATTTGACAAAATCTCTAAGTCGTTAGGTGTATCCAAGTCAACTGTTCAGTCTGTAGTCAAAAGAGCAAAATCTCAGAGTGGAAACACTTAAGATGCAAAAAGAGGTAGAGGACTAACCAAGATTACCGACATGAAAATAATGATAGTGGAGTCAGTTATCGATGCTGAATCTCATTCAGCATTACGCAACATTACCAAAAAAGCGAAGATTGGTCTTAGTAAAACCACTATTAATAAGATTATATCAGAAGCTGGTTTTAAGCTTCGGATATATAGGAAAAAGCCTTTTGGGAGAAATGGACAAAGGGAGAACAGAAGAGAGTTTGCTAGGAGAAGGAGGAACTAGAAAGGGGTATGGAATTGGGTTGTTTTTGTGGATGAAGCTTCTATTGGTTATGATTCAAATTCAACAGGCAGAAAGGTCACAGTTAGATCTGATGAAGAGCCGGAAGCAACAAACTTAAAGCCTAGCTTTAAGTCTGCAAGGACTAGCATTAGTGTATATGCTGCAATGATAATGAGAGGAAAGATTGAGTTAATTATTGTGAGAAATAGAAGAAAGAAAAAAAGGACCAGTAAAAGAGACAGGCTTGGTCTAAACTCTCAACAATATGCAACTAAGATCCACCAGCCTTACCTTATCCCTTTTATAGAGAATTAGGATAGACCTTCTGACAATATCTACGTTGCTGCAGACAATGCTTCCTGGCATGGTGGTGAGGAACATCAAAAATTGGAAGCAGACTGTGGTTACAAAAAACTCCCTTGGCTACCCAACTCACCAGATCTCAATCCTATTGAGAACACATGGGCACTACTCAAAAGAGCCCTTACCAAGCGATTCTCTAGACTGGAAAGAAGACCTCATAGTGTAGCTGAATTATTTGAGGCAGCAAAGGAAGTGTGGGATTTAATTCCTCAAGAGAAGTTGGATGGATGGATTGTTAGGATGCTTGAGAGAATGCAAGCTGTACTGGATGCAAATGGAGGCCATATAAAATAGTAATAATGTTTTTTTATTGTCTACTAGCAATACTATTATGTTTTTTTTAATTGAATTGTTTAAAAAAAAATTTGAAATTTGTATGGTTGGGGGTTGTGGTTGTGCAGTTGACATGCAAGTGTACAAGAAAAAACATTCCAGACACGACTGTATATCATCTAACTATACAATACAATATATGTCGAGGTACTTATTGAGTATCTGGTTGATCCATCTTTATAATAAAGTCGGTGCATTGGTTAGCCCGAAAGGCATAACCAAGTATTCGACTATCCGGTATCTCAAGGCGAATGTAGTTTTCTATTCATCTTCTGCTTTGATGTGTATATTGTGGTATGCATCCTGGAAGTTGAATTTATTGAAGTATTTTACAGATCTTAGTCTATCCAGTCCCTCCCTGATTAAGAGTAGTGGATATCGATCTTTCTTGGTAACCGAATTGAGGGCTCTGTAGTCAACACAAAGTCTTATTTTTCTATCTTTCTATTTAATGAATAGTATTCGAGATCCTCCTGATGCAAAGGAGTCTCTGATCCATCCTCGCTTTACGTCTTGCTCAATGTACTTTCTAAGTTCTGTGAGCTCTGATTCTCCTAGTAGGTATAACCTCTTGTAGGGTATCTCTTTTGTTTTTCCCATTTTCTCATCTTTGTCCAGCTGAATTTTAAGGTCGATTTCAGGTCTTCGAGGTAGTAGCCTCGTAGCTTCTACCTCTTAGAATAGCTTTGTGAATTAATGATATGACCTTGGAATCAATCCTTTCCATTGGTTTTTGCTTTCGTATTTCTTGCCTTAGATTGCTAGTTCCATGCTGATATTGATTTTTGCTACAACAGCTTTCTCATCTTCATATGTCCATTAGAGAATTCCTGTTGTATCTCCCCTTCAATAGTACCATCCAAAGACTTGTATTGTGATCTCTTTGATCTCAATTCTTTTTGTTGTATTGGGCTGATTCTGGTCAATCCTTCCAAACTGCTGGTTTCCTTGTATGATTTCTTCCAGTTGATCTACTTCGTGCAGATACTCTTTCTTGATTTGTTCGATACTTAACTGTACCATTCAATCTCCTTTCTGGACTTTGTAGTCCTCTTGAGCCAGGTTAGCCAAGACCACTTTGATTTCACCTGTATAGTCCACGTCGATTACTCCCGCCATGGTCATGAGTCGCTGCTTGACGCTAGACCACTTTGGGGTGCTATCCCTCCATAGGTGTCTTCTGGTAGTCCAACGGCTATTCCTGTCGCTATTATTGCCTGCCCATTGGCAGGTATCTTGGTTTCTTTGTTGGCATACAGGTCCTGTCCTCCTGCCCCTTTGGAACACTTGGTAGTCACTTTTGCTCCTTGGTCCAGCTTTTGTATCCGGACTCTCTTATCTTGTCCCATCTCAGCGAACTTTGCATGCAAAGTTTCTTCTTCTGCTTCCCATATTAGTGTCGAGTAGATCACCCGTGAACTGTTAAGACATCGTGTTCCACCCAGTTCGCTGGTAAAGGTCATCTTGTTCTCGTTCCAATTGATCTTGAGGTTATATTTTTGTAACCATGACATACCTAGTACTATTTCATGGTTCTTGAGATCTGTTACCTGAACGGTTGCTGCTTCCCCATAGCTATCAATGTCCATAGGTACTGTCACCATATCGGTTATAGAACCCATTGCACTAGGCTTTCTATCTGCTATGTACATCTGTCTCACTTTCTCCACTCTCTTGGTCTGGAAGATGTATTTGTCGCAGATTTGCTTGTTGATAAAATCTCCACTAGCCCCAGAGTTGAGGATTACATATATTGTTGTTTCTTTGTACTTTTCGTTGGGTATCCTCGTTTTGATTATCACATGATCTCCTTCTTCATCTCCCCTTTATGTGTATAGTGCCATGTAGTAGTTTGCTAACTTGATAGGTTTTCCAGGTCCACATCTTGGATCTCCCAGACTACCATTTACTGGAGGCTCTCGTCATTTTCCACTGGTGAATCTTCTTACATTATTTCGCCAATGTTGCTCCTCTTTTGAGCTTGGAAGCAGTTGTTTCCAGCGGCCCTGGATCCTTAGAATCTACTATCTGGTCGGCTTCTGCATTCTCGTATCTGATGACCTGCTTTTCCGGACCTCAAGCAGATTTTCCCCTTTATTCTTCTAGTATATTCTTCTGTTAACAGGTTCAGAGCAGGTCCTGCCCTTAATTTGTCCAGCTCCATTGGCTCTCCTGGTGGTAATACTCTGCTTTCACCTCGAGCTGCCTGTGGTTTAAAGGTTCCATCCATATTTCTGGATGATTGGGACGCCATATGTGCCATGGTATTTTCCGAGCTGTTTCGAACCATGTTTAGTTTGCTTTCTGTATCAGTCACCCATCTTGCAAATCATTCTGCTGTTGTATATCATGAGTCAGAGATTTCCCATGCCTCTCAGAGTCTCTCGCTACAGTTTCTTAGGACCATGATGTAGAGGGTAGTATCATCATATTCCGATAGTCGGCATTAGTTTCAACATGCTGAAAAGGTCTGTTTTCCTTGTTGGAGTTTCTGCAGCTTTCGTCTTGCTGTCCCCTTAGCATTGGTGTCTCTGAATTGCTCAAAGAGTATTGTCTTGAATTCCTCGTACATGGCTTATTACCTCTGTTTTCTACCATCTTGGAATTGTATGATCTACTATCCCGCAAGTGCACTGAGTAGAGATTCCATACAGGGAATCTTGATCTCATCTTGGTTTTCCCCATTTACCTGGACAGCAAAATACCTTTCACATTGTGCCAGGAATATTAGTAGCTTATCTTCAGCTCCTTCGTACATGTCGGGTTCTTTTGCTTTCGTTCACTGGATATTTCCTTGTCCCGCGTTTTGTGTTGCCGCTAGAAATGCTTAAAATTAATTTTCAGTCATTTCAAGTATGCTAGTGCCCGGTGCCACAGTGGCCGGGGCCGGTGGCAAAGGAATTACTGATCTCGATATAGTCTCAGGTTGTAGGATTCTTGCAGGAGAGCTATCGACTAGTGATCCCTTCTCTGAGGTTACTGGGCTTGCTGCCCGTGAGGGCTCTGCTGATACATGATCTAGGGCATCGCTAAATCCCACTAGGTTAAGGTTTTGATGGTCGATGTCGATATCTCCTTCCCTATCTGAGTTGAAGGATACCGTTTTGTATGATTTGGCATCGTACTACTTGATGCTTTGTAATGTAACGATTCCTCTTAGCATTGTTAGTTCTTTGCGATGGGGAATGATACATCTCTTCTCTTTCTTCTTCTCTCTTTGTCGTACGAGAGCACTAGGCCTCTGCGTAACTTGCCTATAGTACAAGACCTCTCTCTTCAATTGGCAATGCCTATCATAGGTTTTCTCTAACTCTTCTCCATGAAGAGCATTCCTCTGTGTAACAATCAATATTGTAATAGAGATAAAGATCATAAAGATGTTTTATATTCAGTAAAGTAATAAGTTGGAACGGTACTTAGAACAAAGCGTGAACCATTGTCACAACGGTATTGGCTACACATGTGTTCTCACAGTTCGTTTAATTCTATGACCTGTTTACGCCTTGGACAAAGATGTGATCATGATAAAACCAGTCCATGCTGGGTGGCAGTTCTTAACTTTGAACACCTATATTTATCTCCACAACGTAGCCTTCGCAGGCTCCCAATTACCGAGTCGAGTGCTCGGTTAGGCGAATGGTTTCTGGAGAGGCTGATACTACGAGCGCTGAACGCATGGCACACAAAATGATTGGGAAGCAGTCTCAAGCACCACGTTGTCGAGGCACAGTGTTTCTGGTGTATTACGCCTCAAATGACCTGCTCTCAACCCTCAAATTGCCCTCCACGCCCATTGAAACAGACTACAGACCTCTTCCTCGTCACATCCACGGCATCCGGTTTCACACATATTCTACCGTGGCAATTATTACCCTTGACAGGCACTACTGCAAATAGCACTGCCGGGGCAAAAAAATGTTCATCAGTTGGCTCTCATGCCTCTCCAATTTCCTCTTCCCCAAACCAATGCCCGAAGAATCGGATAGAAGAAATGCCAAGTTGCAGGTTCCTGGGGTTTCGGTGGGGGAATCTACAACCCTTGAAAGGTGAAGGAAGACAGGCCGAAAGCTCCAGTGATTGCCCCTCAGGAACTCGGGCAAACCGAAACCAATCGCATTTGGCAGGATACCAACTTTGCAAACAGGGATGCATAGGCATAATTAGTGTCGAACCAGTGGAAGGCTTATGGCAAGCGCTCACGCGCTTTATTTCCCTTCTATTGTTGGGATGTATATGGTACTTACCGACAAAAGGATTCCAATGTCCTGAGTAGCCGGGGGTTAAGCCGAAAATTACCAGCATAGGCGGTTCGGTGCAGAAAGAGTTGTCGAAATGCCAGCTCAGCATGTGCCTGGAGATTTTGGTCCTCCTCGTTACCTGGTTTGCTGGCATACTCATTGGTAGTGTGGTCGGCTAAATCGCGGACTAAATGGAGAGGACAGACTGTACCGTCTTTTGGCCTGTGGTGTTATAGGATTTAAAAAGAAGGAGGGTTGGGGTCGCACTCTACACTGATTTGGGTACCGCTCTGTCATCACCATAATTATCACCATGCTGCTTACGCTTATCGGTGTAAGTTAATACTTTCTCCTAAGGACCTTTTGGCTAAGGTTATTAGGGGTGCCTGACTCTCCGATTCTTATACTGACCATTAAAAAGGTAGTACAGAAGATTAGCGCATACCAGGCTTGGCGAGCAAGCAGGTTTATCATATGCGCAAAAGGAAATTCGATGGAAATTGCAAGCCCAGCCCTCCTGACTCAATATTTATATCCACCTTGGACTTGCCCAACCATCTATTCTTGTTTGCTTTTGTGGTGGAGTAGGGCCCATGTGGGTTTCTGTCGACATCCTCGCGCTTCCTGTTTGTGGAGTGCTCGTTCTATTATATTATTACCACTGCCAACTTCTAATAAATTATCCGGGTATATCTCACCCGAGTTCCACCAACGGTTTACGCGGGAAGGGAGGGCAAGGGGGTAATTACAGAAATCAGCCAGTGATGGCGGCATCCTGCAGCCCATCATTTCTGTGTTCGGTGTAATTCGTCAGGCCTGTCATAGAAAAATTCCGCTTTGTTGGACTGTAAGTTTTACAACCCCTTCATACCGACTCCAGGTAGCATAAAAGAGTGGGATTTGGCAGTCTAACTTTGGCTGGTTGAGGTCAGGTCATCCATCTCAGGTAGGATACTAAT